ATAGTTAGTGTACATGCTTGCTAGTTAGTGTATAGTTAGTGTACTGTGTACATGCTTGCTAGTTATATGAAATTTATAGTTTTATACTCATTTGAATGATTTATAGAGTTAATAGTTAGTGTACATGCTTGYTRGTTAGCACAGAAAACCAATAAAATAGCTTACAAAAGCATAGATAAAGTAAAAACTCAAAAAAATTAATATTTTAAAACTCCAACGCCTAGGTGCCCTGTGGTCGCCTAGCCTCGCCTTGGTGCCTTGAAAACTATGTTTTGTATATGTTCTTTCAATTTTTCTTTCAAAAGTGGCTCCTCAAATGACTTAGGTATGTGCATTATTTTGAATATAAATATAAAAACATCATTAAGGAAGAAGAAAGAGATACAACAATAGGTGATAAGAAATCATCCAAAGGAAAAAAAAAAAAAACCCTGAAGACACTCATACAAAGACAAATTCCACAAGCTCCCCTACACAATGAAAATAGACTCCACCCACCCAACAATAACTCCTCCCTGTCCCTGACAAAACACAAAAGGATCATTCTTCAAATGTCACTCCATTCCCCTTCTTTATTCAAACTCTTCTCTCCAACCTTCTCCTCCATTATCTTCAATTTCTCTATAAACTTCCCTTGCAAAATCATCACCTCCTATAAAACGTAAACCCAAGATTTTGCACACTTCCACCTCCTTATTAACCACTTCTTCCAATTCTATCCTTCTCTGAACAACATAAGTTTTGTCAAATTCCACTTCCCTCTCTTGAGACAAATCAGCTGAACTCAAATCTTCTTCTTTATCATCTTCAAAAGGTTTATTTTTATATCATCTTCAAAAATATTTTTATATTTTTTATATATTTTCCACTTAGGCATGTGCATCATCGCCTTGCACCTTAGGAACCCCTTGCACTTCCCATAAAAAAAACTGATCCGCATCTTCAAACTCAGTAAGATGAGGTTTCCTATCTGCCAAATTATCTAAATTATTTAAATTTTAACAGATAAATGTAGACAAGTACAACATCATGAAGGGCTATCTTTCTATATAACAATAGGTGCTTATAATCATATCGCTCTAGGATAAAGCAAAAAATTATAATTTTCTAAAGCGTAAAGACATTTATATTTAAATAAAATGAACAGTTACCTATCAAAAAATAGGGGAAAAAAAAGCATAACAGTACATCAAGCCAAAAACTGTTGAAAACAAGTTTTGACAAACCTGCCTTGAATGCATGGCTATTATCACTATCAATGATCAAAAAAAGTGGTTTTCGAGTGAAAGGAATGATATCACCAGGGTAAAGCAAGTTTGAACCTGCAAGTCAGAAAGGCATCTTTGTAACAGAATCCAACATGTAACATACAAGCCATGTTATAACCTTGCAAACAAACAGCATGGATGACCACATAGAAAAGATTAAATGCATATAACAATACTTGTAACATTTGAAGGAATTGTGTAAATCAGCTTTTCTTTTTGGCTGGGGGGAGAGTACTCCTGCGATCCTGAGAGTAAAAGCAACAATGTGGTAAATATCAGCTCATACCTGCACTCCCTCTGGGACCCAGGCACAGATAATTCCGAGAACATTTTGTTGAATCTCCTGTATCACAATTAGGAGCTTCAGGCAGTGACTTTTCATGTTCACGGGTCTGAGAAACAACTTTTTTGTTTGCAGAAGCTCTTGAAGCTCTGGAAGCTTTCATTTCAGAAGCAATGCTCTGGCCAGTCTTTCCTGCATGATGATAAGTTGAGTAACTACAAATTGTTTTGGCTGGATAATCTAACTGGACTAAAGAGTAAAGAAGCAAGATTAACCTGATCCAGATAGATATATTAGAAAAATGCTATCTTGAGGGAGCTCCTCACAGATTGTGGCAATAACCTGCCCATACAGCATGTAACCTTCTATTACACTTTTGAATTGTATTCCAATTACAAGACACGAATAAGAGCCTTGTTTTTACAAAAGGAACGCAAGCTTGGAAAGAAAAGAATGAACAAACAATGTTGAAGAATATACGAACATAATTTCATTACCAAGAATATTAATTTAAGGGCCTCAACTTACAAAGTAAATGCCTGCCAAATATATACTATGAAATATACAGTCATAGCTATGGCAGCAAGAAAGGAGATATTTTCCAGATTACTGGCATACTGAATAATAGTAGAACAGCATCTAGCTTGTGAAAGATCCACATATCTCATGATGTACCCTATCCCTCATTAGATGTTAAGATGGTTTTGTTTCTTGACAAGATGGAGCAGTTATAATTAAATGCTAATGTTAAATGATTACACAGGTATTTTGGGTTTTATTTTGAAGTTTTAACTTAAGTATCCCAAGGGTTATGCATTTCTGAATTTCATTGATTCTTAGGCAGTGGATGGTTTTTAATTGTCACCCCACCCATCCCCAAACTAGTTTACATTTTTTGAAAACTATCAAATAAAATATTGATGTAACATCCCCTCCCCATCCACCTGGATGAATTTTGGTAACGTAGCAATATAGGATCCAAAATTTGAATGAAGGTGGACACCTCCAGCTGACATCAAAAGTCTCTTTGATCCAACTTCCTGTCCTTCGCCGAAGAAGATAGGTAACATCATGTGGAAGAGTGCTAGGGTAGCAATGGTAGTGTGGGAAGAAAGAAATGCAAGAATTTTTAGAGAAAAGGAGAGAACAAAAGAGGCCATGATTGAATCAATTCTGATTAGAGCGGCTCAATGGCTGAAATCCTTAGGAAACTTCTCACATATATCCATTGATGATATCATTAGAAACTGGAAGATAGTAGCAGATTCAAATGTCAATAAGCAGCCTGTTATTCCTATCTGGACCCCTCCTGAAAGAGGATTTATAAAGCTTAATTTTGATGGCAGTAGCATGGGAAACCCAGGAAGGTCAAGAACTGGAGGTGTATTCAGGGATGAGGAGGGTAAAGAGTGTGCATTATTCTCAGGCCCAGCAGGTGAAGGAGACTCACTAAGACCGGAAGTAATGGCAGTTATGGAAGGAGTGCAAAGGGCTACAACCATGAATGCTAGAAAGCTAATTATTGAAGGGGATTGATTCCAAACTGGTAGTGGCTTGGCTACAGGATGAGGAAAGTAGGATGTGGAAGTATAATAATGAGAAGAAAAAAATCAGATGGATCATAAAGGACATGGAACTGAGAATACAGTGGGTGAAAAGAACAGCTAATTCAATGGCTGATACATTGGCCAAGCAAGGGGTTGGGAGAATTCAAACATTTTGGGCACAACTGTAATTGTAATTATAACTAAAGTTAAAGGGGAGAGATAAGAGAGCTTGTCTCTCTCTCACTTTCTCTTGTACACTTTCCTTAAAATTCAATGAAGTAATCAGTTATTCATCAAAAAAAATACAGGGTCCAAAATTTCAAATATGGGATTTCCTGAAATTGCTATTTAATTTTGCATTTTTAGAATTAGGGATGTTTTGGTCATTTTATAAATTTTATGTAGGATCCAGCCTAGGAGTTTGCTTTTTTTCTGGTTGTAGTCAAGTTATTCTTAAAATTTCAGACATAGGGTAAGTAGTTTAAGAATTATTTATTTTTCTGAGTTGCAGAGGTTGAGAGCATAGTGCTGCAGGGGCAGCTTTTGTAATAACCCTTGGGTACAGCATCTTGTTGTACATGAGGCTTTTTTTTTTCTTTTAATATAACTAGTAAATGTGCAAGTGCTTTGCACAAGGCAATTCTAGATGATGATAATGATAGGAATGATGTATCCAAAATTTTCTATAAAATTCATGTATTTTTTATTTTTTATATTTTTTGTTTTTCACTATTAATTGGATGCAGATTTCAAAATCCGAATCTGATTACGTAAGCACATCATATTGGGCTACAAAGTTTTGGGTATCATTGGCAGGCCTACCTATTTTGTTGGACTCTTCTTTTTGTAATGTTTATCTTCTTAGTGTAAACTTTTTTGTTTATTTATCAAAAAAATGTAAGATTTAAAGAGGGGGAATTGTATGAGGTGAAAATTGTAGTTCAAACTACATTTTAAACCTCACAATTAAATAGGGATTAAATTCAAAAAATGGGTATTTTAGTCAAAAGAAAGTTCTACAATTTTATTCATATTTTTAATAGTAGTGTAATATGGAGTTATAGATGTGTTCAATTTTTCTATATTTTTTTATTTCTCTGTGTGTAAAAATAATACTGTTATTTACACTTTTTTGCTTAATATGTTAAATATATGATATTATACATGTGCCCAAATGTTTTTTTTTTGTAAAATTTATGTATTTTTATTTGTGTATTTTAAATTTTTATTATTTAATTATGACATTAAAGGTTGATAGATTTGACCCAAAAGTTGAACTATTGATCTCCGCTAAATAGGAAAATAATTTCATTTTTTGTTAGTTTTAGATTATGTATTTCATTTTCATCATCAATAAAAATAATTCTTGTTTATTACACTTCTTTTTTTTTAATTTGATTAATAAAAATATCAAAAATGTGTCTATTTTTTCTACATTTTTGTAATTTTCTATATTTATTTCTATTTAAAAAATTTATTATCTAACTATGACTTCATGGGTTGGCCAATTTGATTTTGATAGTTGAATTGCTTAGTCATCACTTTGATAAAGAATGATTTTGTTTTAGAGTAAGTTTTAAAATATATGGGTTTATATTGTTAAAAGTATTGGACATAGATCTAATTAGTAACATTTATTAGTGAAAATTAACTTAAATATGGGATTTAATAAGAGAGAATGGGAGTTAATACCTTAAATACAAAAGTTGATGAGACGGGATTAAATGAAGTAAAAAACATTAATTGAAATTACATTTTCAACCTTCATAATTAGAGATGAACTAAATAACAAATGTGGGCATTTTAGTCAAGAAAAGTTCCACACCCTCATTCGTACTTTTTATAATAGTATAGATATTATACTTCACCATCTATCGAAAAAATTAGTTTTTTTTTATCAGATAAAAGATTTTTATTGATAACAGAATATTGAATTACAATAGTTATAGGTTGCAGAATGCATTAATCCAATCTGCAAACACATACAAAATAGTTACAGTTTATCGAAAAAATTAGTTTTCTCTTAGCTGAAGTATAAAAATGGCAGAATTGTAATAATTCCAGAATTTTATCTATCTTCTCTCTCTACAATCTACACCCATGATAAGCAATCTTTTTATCAGCCACCTATGATCAGTAATTGCAGCCTATGAAAATCCCACATTCTCAAGTTCAAGACATTATTCAACAATCTCTGATGGCCCAACTAGGACAGTTTCTCATTAAATTACCAAACCTACTACTTTTAACTCCCTTAGAGAGTCTTAAACATCCATAACCATATTGAGTGAAAACTCAATCTAAACCAGCTACCTCCCTTAGTTTTCCATCTTTAATGATACCTTAAAACTATCTCATCAGTTTTAAGCCTAACTGCAATTCCCAGCAAATTATTCAGTTCTTTCACCAAGAAACCTTTTTGTCTTTTGTGCCAACCCCCAATTATCTTCATGTTAAGTCATCCTTCATAAGTCCTTATCACCTTCCTTTCTACCAAATTTAATTTCAAAACTCTACCTACAACCCAGTTTCCAGAATTATGGGTTTTCTTAATGAAGCATACTTTTTGTCCTTGTGTACAAGATGTACTTAGAACTTTACCAAATTTGGCTGCCTATACAACCATCCATTCTAAGCCTTAAATACAAAGTATCATTTAAGAAATCTAACAATAGACTTATTTTCTTCAATTCAAAAGTGGCAATTCCTGTTGTTAAGCCAAGAGACCCTTCCCAACCCAATAATCCAATCAAGCTTCATCCCTATGCTAATTTAACTTATCCCATAGTTATCAAGACAGAAAGGCAAGACCAAGTGACAGAGTACTGCTTGTTTCAAGTTCTCACTGGTTTGACAGTAATTATTGAAAAATAACACCATTATTTTCTACTGAAAAAAATATATTAAAAGAAAGTCAATAGTAATGAATTGTGTAATATCAAGATGCATTGCATGATTAACTTCACATGGTAATACTATTAATCATAAATTTTTATAATCACTTCCGTTTAGCAAGGCAGAAAGACATTTAAAATAAGATAAAATGCTCTAATGCCTTTAGAACTCACAGCTATCAATTGACTTGCTGATGGACGATGGAGAATAACTTTCCTTGGATTTGGGGGAAGGGTTGGATCAGTCATATCAGCAGCAAGGTTTATATCAATAAGTCCAGAGGCTACAGACTGATCATTCAAAGCACCATTACCGCTTGATTCAGCGGGACGCTCTTGGTAGAATGAGCCACTTGGTTCCCACTCCAAACACTGAAGCATCCTAAAAGTGTCCAAAGTAAACTCTGTGAACTTGACCTGAAAGTACACAACACAAGTAACTATGCAGCTAACTCCTTCAGAACTATATATTGCATAAATACGATAATATGACCTTTATTGTAAGCATTGATTTGTTTACCTCATTTCGGTGATAGCTCATCAGCAATGCATCTTGCAACCTCACAACCCTGTTTGCATGAAAACGAGCCAAATGTGGTTGTGAAGTTGCATATGACTCAAACAAAACACAATATCTGAGGGGCCTATTATTCGTAAAGGCTGTATCAACTTTCAAAAACCGGACAATTTCTTGCACTACTTGCTTCCACTCTCTAAAATTAGTTTCCTGAGAAGACATTCAAAAAGTCATTCCAAAGAAAGAATCCAGGGGAAAATCTTAATGGTGATTATGTGATTGACATTGATAGTCACACTTATGTTACATCATATGGTTTCATATTCACCACATGAGACCAATAAAGAAACCAAGAGGGAACTAAAAACATTAAAAGAATAAAAAAAAGAATGATCATTTAAGTACAATTTCACTAAGAACATTGAAATAGACTACCATTTGACTTGAGATTAGTATTTAACAGGTTTCATTATCCTCCTCTTTACTACATTTGAACTACAATTGGCAGATTTCTTAACTAAGCTTCTAACACAAACTTATCATGATTTTTAACTTACAAACTGATGGTGCCACTTCAGCCTCAGCTAGTGTAAGTAAAAGAGAGGTCATGAGGTAAATGTACTTGCCCTTCTTATATATATTGATCCTTTGCTGTCATGTCAAGTGTCAACTCAGCTAGACAACCCTTTCTGGAGCAGCATCAGATCTTTTTTTATACTTGAAAGAAAGAACAATAAGTAGCAGAATAAAAAGAAAAGATAATGCTCAAACACTCACAAAAATGTGATAACCAGGTATAATTGTCAAGGCATTACCTCAACAACAAGGCATTTGGTGGTGCACCCAGAATGAATACCATGAATTATGTTAAAAGACACTTGTCTAGGCAATTAGGCACACCATGAGGCAATAAGGCAATTACCCAGGTGACCAAAATTACAAAGTTTATGCCTTATTGTAATATTATTACCAATCATGCATCTTTTTAACACATCCAATCGAATATGTATATTATTTATGCTTTGTTCCAGGGTTTTACAGTTGAAACATAAAAAGATCAAAGAGCTTTGGAAAGAGAGAAAGAAAGAAGGATAAAAGAGGACCCCTTTGTTTTTTTTTCCTTTTTTTTCTCTATAACTACTCTTTCATTCTCTCTAAAATTCTTCTATTAGTATGAAATAATAGCCTTCTTCAGTTGCTAAAATTTTTTACATGCAATTGCTCTTTTAAATATTTAATTTTTAAAATATTATGATTGATTTAAAATGAAACTGTATTTTAAGTATGATAATTTGTCATATTTTGATAGAAATTCACTGTTATTCAGTAAAGAACATTCCTATTTTCAATTTAAATGTATTATAATTCGGCCTGCCTTTGAGTTCTGTTAGTCTGGTAACAGCCAAGAAGAGAGAAGAAGAAAGAAAGAGAGAGAGAGAGAAAGGAGGAGAAAAGGAGAGAAGAAAAGTCTGGTTCGAATTAGAGAAAAATTACTCTCCCATTCGGCCAGACATGTTTTATATTACTAATATAATGGAAAAGACACATATGCCCTTATTTAAGTGAGGGACACTAGTTCTAATATAATATTACAGATCAGCAACCTCAACATAAGTATAAAGACAGAAATACCCCTACACTAACAAAATGCATCTTGATTGGTACAACAAAACTAGGGAATTAACCTAGAATTTAGGCTTTTTTTTATAAAATTATATTGCCTAGGCACCTAGGCAATTAGAAACTCCATTTGCACCTATCACCAATATGCCTTGTCAACCATGAAAACAGGCTAGCCCCACAACTACCTACTTGATGTAGGACAAATAGGACAAAGTCCTATAGATCAAATCTATAGGTTCAATAAACAAGAATCAACAAATACGTAAATTATAGGGGAAATTAAGCTAATGAATGCTTCAGAATTGATTTAGGATGGTTCTAGACTTATATCATGTTCAGCAAAGAGACCGTTGGGTTTAAGATAAAGAAAGGATGAAATTTTGATTGTGTATGGGTACAGGAGAAACCAAAGTGAAAGTGCAACCTTTAGGAGCACAAAGAACAGCCTGAAATAGCTCTGTAAGTTATAAGGTACCATGTAGTATATTCTAGCTATATTTTCAGGCCGTATAGGGGAAGGAAACTCCATCAAGGCAGTGTTGCAAGGCCTAAGATTAGCAAGGAAGCTAAACCTAAGGTGGTGATAAGTTGACTGCAATAGAACAAACAAGGATCATAGCAGTACAGGAATGATTTCAAAAATTAAGAACTTTAGCATAATTGCTGAAACATAAGCTTTAAATGTACCTACATATCTGCAAACGCAGTGGCAGATGCCATGGCCAGACACAGAATGTATAGAGGAAAGTTGTTTTGGGGTACTTCGTAATAGCAAATGAATGCAAGGTGTGGGGGCAAGAGCCAGCCGACCTCATTAAACAAATGCTGGGCATTCTTGTACCATATTGGTCCCATACTTAATGAAATAAAAGATTACCGTTCCTGATCAGAGAGAGAGAGAGAGAGAGAGAAGCATGTAGTGCTTGTCTTCTGTAGCAGCATCGATCTATCTGCTAGCCCCTTGGCTCAAGAAAGCCAGCCTATTTGCAGAGCAAAGTCATACATTTAAGATAACACAACTTCTTGCCACTACCCGTTTAGAATATAGGGACGCAACCAGCTTGCATAGATGCTCCCATTTAAGTAAGTCTATGGTCCACTGAGCCAATCAGGAACTTTCACATATCATGTTTCCAACATGAAATAGAGAACATACTAACTTTGTTCATGCCTGCCTCTATTGGATATGTTCAAGATCATTACCCAAAGTCTATGGCCCACTAACCCAATCAGGTATTTTCACATACCCTGTTTCCAACACGAAATAGAGAACATAATATTTTTGTTTATGCCTGCCCTTATTGGATATGTTCGAGATCATTAACCAAATTCTCTATCTGTGAAAGCTAGTTAACGAGGAGTTGGAAAGTAATCCGATGGTCCATGACAAGTCTAACTAATAAAATTGACATAACATATAAAATACCGAGCTCATTGGTTTCCAATTAAGGTGGGTAAGGTGCAAGGAAAGATTAGAATGCAATTTTGTTCACTTTCTCTAAGTATCTTCTTTTCTATGAACCAAGTTTCCAGATCAGCAATGGAAGCTACTCAATCTTATTCATAAACCAAGTTTCCAGATCAGCAATGGAAGCTACCCAATTTTATTCATAAACCAAGTTTCCAGATCAGCAATGGAAGCTACCCAATTCATTTCTTACCTTTCTTCTTTGATAACTTTCCAGAAATAGAAAGACTATGATTTAGGCAACCTTATTGTTTTTCTTTTTCTTTTTTTTTTCTTTCTTTCTTTCTTTTTTGCCTAGCTTCTTTGATGACTTTCTGGAAAAACGAGAAGCTCTATAGACTGTGGTGGTCTTTCTGTTTTTGCCAAGATTATTCGATTTTACCATTTTCCCTCAAACAGCGTATAAATTAAAGATTTTTAAAGAGCAACTTATGAAACCCTTGTACCAGTTATGAAGTATAAAACATCCATATTATTTCCAAATGGATAAATGTACCATCCAAATTCAAGTACTATCTCCAAACATCATAAAACATCTTATCAAGCCCAGTCAACTAGGATGGCATGAATCAACACCCTTCCAACTAAACTAGAATCCTAACTTGATACCTAATCATGATCTGGGCCACCTGGTCGGAATGAAATCACGGGTCTTGATGAAGTATGCAAGCCAGATGGCAATAATATTCTTCTACGGACAAATAGGAAATTCTAGCGTTCATCCAGAAATTTCTCAAGCTGTAATTATAACTGTCATTGACAACAAAGAGAAGGAAAATTAAGGGAAAAAAATGAAATTGGGGTTGGCAAGTTGCATTGTGATCTTCTTTCCTTAAAACAACAAATTAATATGAGATAATTGCTTTAGATCACCCATGAAACCTATAAATTATCCACATATTCTTCAATCCAAAACTTTTTACTATCAAACCAACGAATTCCAAGATTTGTTAAAAGAACAATACACAATAATATATAAATATGTACCATAAGAAATACAGCAAGAAAGTTACCGGAAAAGTAGCCTTGCAATCATCCACGAGAGCCTTGAACCGCTCCGCAAGCACCTTCACCATCTCGGATCGATTCAAGAGCAACGAAACTACAAGAAACCTCGCATAGAAGCGCAATTCCTTGTAACGCAAGCCCAGCAAGTTCATATCCTTAGTCGAGCCTTTTGTTCCCGCGAAATAGCCCCTGTTAAGGATCGCTTCGTAGAAAATGTAAGCCTCGAATAAAAACCTGGATTCGCTGGTTCTCATATACTGCCCGAAGTAAAGCTGACCGATCCGAGACGCGATTTCTCCAATTTCCCATCTCTGCAGACCCAACTCGACGAGTTTCGCCCGGTTCTCCTGCTGAAACTTCCAGAGCTTCGTATAAGCCTTGAAGACCTTACGAAAATAAAATTGCTGTCCTCGCCCGTACGGCAGCACGTCCCTAACCCTAGCGAACTTACGGTCCGCACTCTCTACCAGATCGCGGAATGTCTTGGCGACGTCGGTAGTATCGCCCATGGTGGAACGTTAGTTCTCCAGGTAGGCACCGGCGGTGGTCATGTGCGCCAGAAGTGTATTGCAATTTGCAACCACGAAACAAGTGGAGGTGAAGGTGAAGAAGGAGAACACAGCGCGACAGGAGCAGAGCTTTCTCAGATTGCTGTCGGTGCGTTGGCTTTGAACAGTGAACTAAATTCTGCCTACTTCCTTTTGTTTTGTTTTGTTTTGTTTTGCTTTCCTGATTGACAGTGGCGGCGTTCAGAGTTCAGACTACAGAGGAAGAACAAGAGATTCTAATGATTTGATCAATAGTAACGCTTTGCAGCCATGGAAGTAAGATGACAGACGGTTTTTACATTCTTTTTTTATTTTTCTCCCCCCAGATTCCTAGTCCCAGACTCTTCAATCTTTTTTTTCTTCTTTGCCGGTGCCCGGTGGTTGAGTCTGCCAGAAATGTCGAATCTTTTGATTATCTTCTTCAATGGACACTGTCCCTCACCGCCCTGCTGTTTACTTTAGACGACAGAAGACGTTTAAAGAGCTATTTTGATCGGAAAACGAAATGTCTCTTTTACCCTTAAACTTAATCTATTGACATTTTCTTTTTTGTCAACTGTTGACGTATTAGATGTAAAGACGGCTTACAGTTCAAATGAGGTGTCACGTTTTCTTAGCGATTGATCTATCAAGCAACATAATAATCAGGTAAAAAGGACTAGAGTGGAATAGTAACAATCGTTGAGACCACTGTCGGAATGCTTTGATAGTGGGACCGAGGACCCACGGGCCCATTTTCAATGGATCGCCTCCTGTCTACTGATTACGATAGTCTACCTAGTTAGTATCTGTTTCTTTAGGGTCGGATGAAGGTCTATTTGGTCTAATTTAGCATCACAAGGGTACAAGTGTCTTTGTATAAAGTTACAACGACGGAAAGCAACGTTAATATTATAAGAAGACTAGAAGAGGTTTTCTTACGTAATTGTCCTTGCGATTTTTACAGAGGTACACTCTTGGTTTTATTTTTTACTATTTGAGAAGATGCCGTTGAAGCTTGATAAGTGTGCTTCACAAAGGCGGGTAGGTCCAACTAAGACCAGGAATCTTGGTATATACTGTTTTCCCGTGGTAAATCCTGATCGTCTAATAGGCTGCAAGGAAAATTTTCAATTAGATCGGGCACGGGTTAGGGTAAGGGCCCATTGAAGTTTTGACAAATTCCAAATCCAGCCCGACCCAAGTTGCACAGATATCTAAAATGATCAATCAACCCAATCGCTATCTTCAGTTTCACCACCCCACCAGTAGTACAACCCTTTGGATTTATTCCGGACTTGAAACATGAGGCGGTTTAAATTCTGGCAAGGTTGAGTTGAACTGGAAGGATGATCAGTAAACGGAATGGGTTCGGATTGGTTTTACCTAGGTTCAAATTTGATACCCTATTAAGAGAATTGATCTTTCGGATTGACTTTGGATCCAATCTGGATATTGTATATCATTGACAATTTAAATTTAAAATATTAAAACATATTGTTCATAAAATAAATTAAAAATAACTTTAACATTGTATATCATAGAATAAAATAATTTAAGACTTTCCTGAGACTTTGAGCTATAGTCCTCCAGTAAATATATGATAGTTAAACCAAATTTTATTAATTTCCTCTTGAATTTGACATCTTTTCCCTTTGTACGATCAAATTATGAATTATGAAGTAGACTGGATGGTAAAAACCCCTTTTGCTTTTAGAAAATAAGAACAATTGTCACGCAGCAAACATAATAAAGGGTCTATTTGGTTCGCTTCTTGAATTGGCATTGGAATTGAATCCCTTGTAAGAAAAATCAAAACCGTTTATTCTTATAAACTGTTTGATTCAGATCAGAATTAGAACTCTATTCTATTAGGAATGGGAATTCTATTTTATCCAACCAAATGATTGCATCCCGATTCCAACTCCAGAGCCCTATTCCCATGAATCAAATGAGCCCTAAATAGCTTAGCATGTGTTTGATAATAAGTCATTTTCATTTACAGCAAAATCTATAAGGAGGGAGAGAGACCACTCGAGACCCTTGCAAGTCTTTTCTGCTTGTTATTTCGATCAATTTCCAGTTTGAAAAAGGATAAAACAGGCTATAATGAAGAACTGCATATGAATGTTTGGTTGATGAAACCACAGTGGAAAACAGACTTGCTTTGCGACTGTGAGGTCCCGTTTCATTGAATAACTCTATTCCTAAACGCCCCTTTACTGTGGTAATACATTTCATGTTATCTTTGGAGGTGTTTGATATAGTGCCATTATTGTGGATGTGTTTTGGATTAATCAATATAAATTTGGGAGAGGGATTTTCCTAATTGAAATGTTTTGAAAAATGTTTCAAATTGATCAATACATTATATCAAGGTTTCTAAAATCAAACCGGACAATGAACCATTCAAGGGTCTGGTTCTTGGGTCAAACAGTCTACCTGTTCAAATCAAATAGATAGCTTGTTCTGACAAAAAATTAAAAATAAATAAAAATAAAAATGACAAAAAATTATTGTTCGAATAAATCAACAATTCGCTGACCAAATCTACAGTTTTTGGCCAAAAGACGGTTTTAGAGTGAAATGGAACCAGCCAAGTGACTGATTCCTGATTTTTCTGATCCGACCATCCAATCCAATCCAATTCTAAAAACATTATGTTATACATATATTTAATGACACTCATATATAATGTAACAACAATATATAATAATACTCTTATAAATTTGTATTAATCAACTCAAAAGACATCCTTAACAATATATACTGTACCAAATACCCCTTTAAGAATTATAAATTCGGTAACAGAATGCACATGGACCGGAGATTATTGCTCGCCCAGTCCCCCGCTCCCCAAATTGTTGTTTAGAGGCTGTAACGATCAAGTGGATAGTAGTTAATGAAAGTCAATAGTCCAGTAGTTTCGTGGTGTATTTAAGAAATGAAGAAATGGCCTTCCAACTTCCTTAATATAAATTGATATTCTTAAGCCAATGAACAAATTATGACGATAATATGCTTCTAATTACATGATTCTTAGAAAATTGTTGAAAATTGAAAAGTTAGTGAAAAGAGTCCGTCAGGCACTTGATAAATTTCTCAAAACCAAACACAGCCTAGACGAAAACTATTTTTATATATGCAGGCGGTGAAATCAATAGCAGGTTTGTTTTCAAAGTAAACAAGCTGGCAAAAAATTAAATCAGATAGAACAAATTATACGAGAATTATAATGGGGAATGTGGGGTAGGGTAAAATAGGAAGATAACATAAATGAATAGTGTGAAATATAGTATATAAATTTTGTACCATTTCGATTTCACAAGTGACAAGTGGAGCGGTTGACTTTCTCAAGGCATAAGCACCATTTGCACCCCACATAATAAGTTGAATGAAGAGGACAAACACTATCTGTCTCTCGCTACATACAAAGTTTCACGTCAGTCCACCATAGTTCATCTGAAGTCTCAGTGATGCCCAAATAAATTTACTGAGTGGATAAATCGGTTTTAGACGCTGGCCTACCTACATGTTTCATTGTTTCAATGTGATCCCGAACCCCAATATGCAAAAGCCCTGATTGCTCTGCCAAACGGCCAAATTAAAGCTGCCAAGTAATGAAATTGGAGGTGTAAGTGCTGAGTTACGCCTGGATTATTTGAAAATTGTCTTTCTTCGTTCTTAAGGCATGTGGGAGACAAAGGACTTAGTCTGGTCAGTTCTTCTGTCCCAGCAGATTGGACCAAACCGCCCGAATGACCAGCCTACCGGTTAGTAGTCAGGATGTTGACATCTTGTAAAATGAAATGTCGGGTTTAAAATCTTTCTGTGGAAAACCAATAAATTTTGAGAAACATAAAAAAGAAGAAAGATGGACAAAATCACAACAGAAAGAAAGCAAGTTTTGGAGGCATAATAATAGTATAAACCTGCATAAAGCAAAGGGCATCTACTTACCTACTCTCTTTCAAAAAAATCTACTTACCTACTTCATTCAACAGAAGATGGGGCTTGGGATGTGTTTGGTGGTTTTTGAAATAAATGAAAAGTAGAGTTAGATTAAAGATAGTGGTTTAATGGTAATACAGTACTAATAGCTTTATCAAAAGAAAAAAAAAATAGTATAATTCCATCCTTTGTAAGTCGTAGAATTGTTTTTTCTTCTTTTTAGCCGATCTCAGTGGAAGTCGTTTTCTATCCTACCATCATCTTCTTCCTTTACTTTTACTTTCTTTTTTGTAATTTTACATTTATTTTCATTGAAAAAAAAAACAAAGCGTATACTTTCATGTAAGTATCAGTCTTTATGATCATAGGACTAACTCTTTAAATTTTAACTTCGGATAGATTATATGAAAGCTAAAGAAAGAGGTATTAGATTAGGAAAAAATAATGGGTCCGTTTGGTTTGCAGTCAAATCAGAATCAAAATTCTTTGAAATTGGAATCAGAATGATATATTTTTATAGTAGGTGTTTGGCATTGATGCTAGGAACATCACACCATTTCTTGAGAAAAATGGTGTTGGGCATGTAGAGTTGTAAGCATTATTTTCTTAGCAACGTGCTTATATTAAAAAAAAATGATGTTTATTTTTTGTTTGGAATTGGTGCTGCCACATAAGCGTTTTTTGAGAAAACAACATTGGTTTTGTTTGGTAATAGTAATGACAGCAACATTTTCAACATTGATCTATATTATCCAATGTCCAAGTGGATGTTTGGCATCAATGTTGTTTTCTCAGTAAACGGTGCCACATAGGCACCACATCAGAGAAAGTGGTGCTTTAAACAACGCCCTCTTGTTTGGTACTATTTTTCTAGAAAAAACGTTACTCCAGACCACGCCTTGTAAATTGAGAAAGTGTGGTCTGGAGCAATGCCAAATTCAATGTTTTCTAAGAAAATGATGTGTTGCTGCCGGTGGTGCAATGATGTGGCATCGTCTTAGACGTTGGATAATATAGACCATGTTGAAAACATTGCTGCAAGCACTGGTACCAAACAAAACTAGTATTGTTTTCTTAGAAAGCAGTCTATGTGGCAGTACCAATTCCAAACAAAAAATAAGCACCGTTAGAAAACGATACTTACAACTCCACATGTCCAGCACCGTTTTTCTCAGAAAATGGTGTGATGTTCCCAGCACCGATGCCAAACACCTACCAAGATGATGTCATGTCATTGCATCGTTGACAACAATACACCATTTTCCTAGAAAACGGTACCAAACAAAAGGGTGTTGTTTGAAGCATCCTTTTATCTAATGTGGCGCTATTGATGCCAAACATCACTATAGTCTATTTGGTTCAAACAGGAATTAAGATCTAAATTAAAATAAATTGAAATAAGAGTTCCCCCAAATTATTCCAACATGAATAGAAATAGGATTTCAATTTCACCCAATTAAACAGTTGGACCCATTCAAATTTCAGATCAGATTTGTTCCTCACAAATGGCGCCTTACAGGCACATTCCACTATGC